CACACACACACACACACACACACATATACACACAATGTTAGTCTGTGTATTGATGTACCCTCTGCAGACATGACAGTCTTCCCCGCAAAACAAGTGGATCCAGCCAGGCAGACACCAGTTTTGAAATCAGCTCTAGAAACTCGTCTGGTCGCGGGGTTTCAGAGACGGGCAGTATCGACAGAAAAACTCGCTATGGCGTCAACAATGTTGGAAGCATTGACAGAAAGGGTCGAGTCACCAGCATTGATGAACCTTACAGTGGAGAGAGAAGACTCCCGGCCCGCAAAGCACCACCACCCCCGCCACATTCTGAAAACTATATGGGCAGCATCGATCGAAAAGCTGCCCCCCGTCATCATCATTCTTCCTCGCATAACCAAAGTTTCGATGCAGCAGAACTGAGGCATCGGATCTCCAGCCAGACTAGCGATGTGTTCTTGCCTGCAGTTCCTAACAAAGTGTCTGGAATCCCACAGGTTAGTTCTGTTGCCAGTCTCAGCCCAGCCGTGTGCGTTTGTGTTGGTGTCCTCTGTGTTGTCATCATGTCCCAGAGTCCAACTTTTGGCTCACGCTGGCCTGCACCCCTTCGTTTTGATGTCGCACACATGTGGAGTACACCACATGCTTGCTTTTTTAATACTTTTCTCAAATTACTCTTCATCCAGAACATCCGTTTATTTTTGATAAATCAGTTTCATATTTATTTTTGTCATGGGTGACCAACATCTTAACTCATCAGAATGGTACTTGTGTAGAGATAGGTGAAGAATTTTGTGTTGCTTTCAGCATCATTATCATTTGCACACAATAAGATATGAGAAAGTATGATAGAGTCACACTTCATATAAACAAGGTAACAGTGTATGTCTTAAGTAGTCTTTAGAGAGGCCATGGTTGTATACAAACATTGCCACTTTTAAATGTCTTACTGTACTTTGGTAGATTCGAGTCTTGTGTTCCTGTTTCATCAGTTTTGCTTCTTTTTTGGGCTCTCCATGTCAGTGACTTTGTTATCGACTATCTTTTAAATTGAGTTGTAAAAAAAAAAAAGCTTTCCTTGTATTTTAACCAATTACTTCTTAGCTGTGGATGTTCCATTCTGGTCGTTAGCTGGTTCTACCTTTAATGGTCTTCAGTCTACATTTTCTGTTCTACAATTTTAAACATAAAAATGTAAGAGATGCAAAAACGCTTTGACACACTAACAAAAGCTAATTCAATTATATAATGATAATAATAATAATAGTACGGACAATTTCTGTAATGCCCACTGCCATACAGTACAGCTGTAAGCTTTTTACAATACCATCATCTTAACACAAAATACATGTGCACGAATGTACATACATGCGTTCTATAGATTAATGCTAACATAAGCAGACATTCATGCTATCACAGCATAATCATACTATCAATGATATGCGCATCACAATAAGAACATACTAATCATGTAAATGTAAGCATAATATTATTAGTACAATTTGAGCCTTTTTGTGAATCCATCAGGGGGTAAATAAGAGAATATGAAGTTATTGGTTCGTTGTAAGTATGAAAAGAAAAGTTTCTGACGTATCAACTTTGCCTCTCCCATGTCGTTCTTTTTAAAATTTTATCTATCCAACACACCATTTTTTTCAACAGTCCAAATTTTTATCCCAGTAATTTATTTCACCCCGCCACCTACCCTCCCCAGACCTTTTTTTTTTATTTCTTTGCCTTTATCTGCTTTTTCACCTTTCAAAGTAAAAGAATTTAGTTTGATAATTTAGATATGTTTTAGTCAAAGAAAGCTATGAGCCAGTCACCCATTCGGGTAGTTGTATGATGATTTGTCTTATACTAGGAAGGTGAAGAGTTCATACGTGAGCGGGGGAATACTGTTGCTCTTCACCCAGTGTCTTGACTAAGGAGGAAATGCTGCATCTTCAAAAGTTACTTATGTTGTGTCTAGTAGGACATGTAATTACAACAAAAACAAAGAGTATGATGGTAGTTTCAGCAAATCATTTAACAATTTCCTCCAAAGCTCTAAATGTCCTTTCGGATCTTAAAAGCGAGTTGCAAAATCGTAATGGGCAAAAAGCATATTAACAGAATTTGTGCAAATAAGTCTACGCAATAATGTACCCCCTAAAATTGTTTGGTCTTTGTGTGAATTCTTCACCTTTGACATCACATAGACGATTAATGTATCCAACAAATGATGACTTGTTTTTGACATAACAGTATTTCTGAGTTGTATATTTAACCTGGAGATTATATAATAGCAGGGTTGCCTGTATACCTTATGATATTTGTAAAGAGTAGATATCTGCTCACAACCAGCCCAGCCCTGGAAGTCGTTAAATTTTAAGACCTCAAGATATTAGACAATTTAAGCTACAGAGAATTTCACCTTCTTACATGAACGTGTACATGCAGACTGTTGAAGAGGGATCGAATAGGTTGGCGGTGGATGCTCTGGTGCGGTTTGCTTCTTCTTTCCTATCAAACATTTGTCGTCCTTATCTCTCATCCTTCTTTTTTGTGTTTGTTACTTCCTTGTCACTTCTCTTTATCTTTGACACGTAAATGACCTAATTGTGTTGCAAGTGCCATAAAAATCAGCTTCCATTTCTTATGGAGTAGATATCTGCTCACAACCAGCCGGACCCTGGAGGTTCTAAAATTTTGAGACCTCAAGACATTAGTCAAGTAAACCATAGAATTCTTACCAAGACATGTGCATGTAGTTTGTTTTGTGTTCCCTGAATGAAAGATTGTTGAGGAGGGATCATGCTCAGTTTCCATCTTTTTGGAGGTTCTACGTGGAGTGTGTTTTTGTGTATGGTGTAAAAATAAGATCTTGTATGCTGTGAGTGGGGTCACAAACCATGACCCACAGGCCAGAACACATAAAGCCAGTTCGTCTGACCCCTCCACCATATCGCTATGCGGAAAAAATACTTGGATTTTCCACTATTATTATGTCTCTTTGTTTGTCTGTCTGTCTGTCTGTCTGTCTGTCTGTCTGTCTGTCTGTCTGTCTGTCTGTCTGTCTGTCTGTCTGTCTGTCTTTTTCCCAGCAGTAAATGACCATTATTGTGCTGATGTGCTTTTCTTTATGCAAACAAAAAAGACCCCAGTTCAAAGAGAAAAGGTTACAGTTTTGAGACCAGTTATAAAGTCCACAGTGCTCACCGAGCTGATAAAGTTGACAGATATTGGTCACCCTGAGACGTCTGTGTTTTGATTGTGAATATGCCCGTACTTGTGAAATCTGTGGTTGATGTTTGTATGTGTTGTAATGCTTCCAATGTATTTATTCCCATTTTCGAATGGTTGTTGAGTATCTGTACCGATGTGTGTCTGTACCTGTATGTTTGCTAAATAGATGATTCATGAGACATGTTTTCTTTGCTGGAAAACTTGCATGGCAAGGAGAAGAGTAAATGAATTCATTTTCGGAAAATACTTGCTACTGTTTTTCTTTTTGATCATGATAATTTGGATTATTTAAAAGGGGGTGAGACGGACGTCATACTTTGAGTCATCTGTTGAATGTTTTGTTCTCTATGTTGGTTGTTTTGAGGGAATCTGTCCTTAGATTTGTGCAATGATGTCGCTGGATCGGCACACTGCCATGTGGGGTGCCCATCTTGCTGTGTGATGTCTTCGCTCAAGCTGCTTAGCTTTAGACCTCCCCGCCCCCTCTTCCTCTTTTCCTTTCACTAGTAATGCTGATAGCAGCTTGCCTCTAATTTCTGCCTTTCTTTGAAACATTTGATATCATCTTCTACATGTAAAAGTAAGAATTGATTGTGACATTATCTTTTAAATGGATAGATATATTCTAAAGAAGCATATTGCTCTTGAAACAGTTCGGTATGTTGTAGACTTAAGACAACTATCACACGAGTGAAAAAAAGTAATAATTACCAAGTTTAACAAATGATTTTAAAAATGATATTTTTAGAGTCCAGTATCTCCTACCGTTGAGAGGTTACATGATTTCATAGTATCATATGATGCTATCATCTGTTTCAAGAAATCTTGACACACATAGATAGACAATTACTGAAAATTTTGTGAACAGTCAGTGTTGCTGTACATTAATTTCATTGCAGGTCATGTAAAGTCACTCAATTTTTTAATGCAAATTTGTAAAATTTACTAAATGTATTTCAGTATTGAAGTAAGTGTATTGAAACTGAAGCTTTCCAGCTTTGAAGGTCTGCTCAAAATATTTCCTGCTGCTCTTTTCTTGGGTTTTACCACAGGTGCACTCTTTCCCTTTTCCCGCCTCCCGATTTATTTTTTTTTATTTCGAAGGAATCCTCTCTGCTAAAGTTTTAAAAGTCCCACTTATTCTTGTAGTTATATGCTTAATTTTTAAAATCCTTATCATGAAAAATAGATACTTAATCTGTGTAGGTGTACACAATGACTCTTGTATGTCTACAATGCTCCACTGATAAGAACCAACCAATCCCTTTTGATCCAGTGTGAACCATTTGCTTCTACAAAATACAGCTGAATCAACCTTTTGCATATCCCTGCTTACTATACTTGTAGCATCATTTGCCTTTCTGCGATCACATGTTATGGAAAAGAAAATGATTTTGTAAAGACAAGTGTAGCATAGAGCCATGTTTTGCTGACAGAAAGGGGTAGAAATCTTTTAAGTGTAAAAATTCTTTGTCGTATTCAGTTTTTATAGTGGTAGGTGTATTTTGAGCTTTGGAATGATGCTGAAGTAAATTCTTAAGTACATCTAATAACAGTAATGAAAATAGAATAGATGCGAAATAGAAAAGGTTGTGGACTTTTTGCCTCTGTCTAAAAAAACATCTGCTCACATTTCTGGCTGCCTTGTTAGAGTGGACGGGTGAGCTTCTGCTACTGCTCCTGTTTGTATGATCGTCTCACTCTCTCACCCCGTGAATCCCATGTGCTACCTCACATCACTGAACTGTTTTTATTATCTTGACGTTTTCACTATTTTAAAAAGAATTACATCAAGCTTTCCATTTCTCCAGTTTTGTTTTCTCTTTGGGTTTTCCTCCCCAACCCACCCACACACACACTTTTCTTTTCGAACAGGAGAGAGCACCACGGTCACCGACTTCCCCGGATGCCCCCAACTCCCCTAACACATCACCCCCCAGAGGTGCTAGGCCCGACAGTACCTCACTGACTTTTCCGAGTCGTGGGAAGAGACCTGAGCTGCCTCCCCGGCGCCCGGAGTCTCCGGCTGTCCCTCCCAAGCCTAGCTCTGTGATCAGCAGTGGGGACCAGGAGATTATGATAGACAGCGGCCCCAAAGTCCCAGACTCAAAACTTCTTAATCCATTCTTACCCGAGCGCCCGGCCAACCCTCCCCCTTTAAGTGCTGCTAAGACCAGTTCACTTAGGCTTAAAGGAGCGAAAGCGACTGAAATAGCGAAAATTGTCAATGCTGAAGTTAATGAGAATATTGAAGAGCCACCTCCCAAACCTCCAAGGTCTTTGAACCCTTTTCTCTCGGGCTCAGAAGATGAGGAAGAGGGTGATGCTGATCTTGACAGCACAAACCCGTTTGCCGGAGATGAGGATGATGAGGAGGAGGAGGATGTTGAATCTGAGGAGAAGAGCAATACCCATGACACAGACAAGCCTTCAAAGCCTCCAGCTCCTGCCCCTCGGTTTTACGCCTCTGGGGGACTTTTGCCGCCTGCTGAACCCTCTGGAAGACGCTCACCCAGTTCTAAGAAAGCTCGACCGGCTCCCCTCCCGCCATCCCCGTTGCCGCGTGCAGAAAGCTCTAAAGATGCCAGTGGCAGTGAAGAGGTCAAGACTAGCCCTGGTAACAAGGCCAGTGTTACCGTCGTCGTAAGTGTCAACCTTTGACCCAATTACTTAGGTCATGCATCTCCATAGCTGGCCAGGATGTGTCGATCATTAACCCAACGCCTGTGACAAATAACAAAATTGATGTAACAGTGGGAATCGTGGCGTGATATTTACATTATTTCTTAATTGAAGATTTTCTAATTATGTCCTTCATGCTTCATATATAGCTTTGGATAACATTTTAAAAACTTTGGTCTGTGTGAATTTCTTGAAGAAGTACGTTTAAGCAATGGGTGATTATATGACTCAAGCTAACTTCCTTTTCTGTGAACAGGATTCTAAAAAATAAGGAAAATGTGAGATTTTATTTTCCCTACACTTTTCACGGAGATTTACTCCCCTTTCCTTCTCACTTCTGCATTGTAGTTAGCAACAAGTGTATTCTGTTTTCAAGAATTTCCCACAATGCCTAGGTTTGCCAGTGAATCTTCTTCTTACTTTTGCATGCACTTCGCTTGTGTTTCTGTCCTCCTTTTTTAACAAATGAACTCCTCTGCATGTCAGTGTGAATCTGTTGTAGTGGTGTGCAATATCCATGCATGGTTTCCTCAACGTTTTTCAGTTCTTTTGCTGAATTTGTTGCTGTTTTAACTTGTTTTCATCTGCATTGAATACTAACATAATCTTGATCACACAAGTTTACTTTTGACTGACAAAAATATCATGATGTTTATATATATTGTAGTAACATTTTTATTGTTTCATTCTCACAAGGACTAGGTTCACAATAGAAAGAAAGAACATGAAGGGTATTTTTTGTTTAATTTTTTTTGCAGACTTGACATTTTGATAGCTTTTGAGGAACAGGGGCTTATCCAGTAAGAAAAATTATGTACTAAACTCTTATATCGTTTGGTTTGCTTATTGGCAATTAAATAACCCCCCCCCCCCCAAATTGCTGCTTACTAAGTTACTAAAAGCATTATGCTAGTGTATGAGAGCGTCTTTAGACCCTCCCTCCCTCCCCCCCAAATTGCTGCTTACTAAGTTACTAAAAGCATTATGCTAGTGTATGAGAGCGTCTTTAGAAGTTTCCATACTTTCCAGTTGATACAAATACAAGATGATTATGGTGTCAAAAACATTGTATGAAAAACATTTGGTGCAAATCTTCTTCTTAAAAAATTTTTTTAAGTGAAGATGAGCACAGTATATCACAGGAGAGAGGGATATTTTGCCATCATACGTAGAATAAGGAAGCAAATGGGAAAAATAAAGCTTAAAAAAGATATCACCATGTGTATTGAAAGAAAATTGATTATCCGAATAGCATGAAATTCCCTAGTTTTGGTAGCATCAATTCAGCAACATTGTTAAAAAATAAAATATAATGTGTTACTAGTAATATGTAATGGAGCACTGTTGAAGATGGGGGAGGTAATTTCAAATTTTTGACAACACCCCCC